TTGTTTCTCACTTACTGTCTTTATTAGTGATTCTAAGTGGTCTAAAACCACCATTATAAAAAGGTATTCTGGCATCGGAGATGAGTGAAGTGTGTGTGTGTGTGTGTGTGTGTGTGTGTCTATATGTATAATTGTCATTCAGTAATAACCCATACAGTGTAGAGTAAAAATGTATAAACTACACACTAAAACTAAAACCAATACTTTATTTACCACTCATGTGTGTGCACACACACACACACACACACATATACAAAAAATTATAAATATATATATATATATATATATATATATATATATATATATATATATATATAATTTATTGACATTTTTTGTCATAAAAATACTGTGAATGTCGCTTTCTTTATAAGTTCATCATCAATGCTGTACAAATGGCTCAGTTATCATGAAATCACTTTCAGCTTTATCTAACTTCACAAACATCGTTTTTACAGCTTTCTACAAACTTTCTGAATTTTATAAGAAATTACTTTCATAGTAGAATCACCTCATCCACGTTTTTAAAGATATAAGTAACTGCTGATGCGTGTGTGAAGCCCAATCTCAACAACATATACCATGAAAAAACACGTCGAATGGGCTCAAAAATGCATTTTGAAACAAAGCCTTTTATACACACCAGTCAGCAGGCAGTTAAGGTCACAGTTTTCTTGTAAAATGAATTTATTTTCACCCTCCTATGGCAGAGTGCGTGACTACTGAGCCCCACTCTCGCTGTGTGCACGTTAGCTGCGCTGTCTCTTTAAGAAACTGCACTTGCGCCTGTCATAAGCTATTGGAGCGCGCTCTACCAATGGGAGTGCTGGTCTGCACAAAGAGATCCACTCCCTCCCCTTTGCCATATCTCTGATGAGCACAATGCATAGACTCAGACAAACGGGGAAGGAGAAGTGCGCTCCGCCATATACAAAGCAACCGGATAATGATTACAAACATGATTTGCCTTTAATGGGATATTTCACTTGAGTAAAATGTGCACCGGGACACTGGAATACTGGGAAGTCATTCGGATTCGGAAATGAGGACTCAAATAGGAAGGGAGGTCTTATTTCGGCAGCCGCTGTGGCTGTTCTGTTTCGTTGCCTTGTGGAATAGAACAGGAGCACAGCTGCGCTACACCATTCCGGAAGAGTTAAAGGAGGGTTCCGTTGTTGGGAACATAGCAAAAGATCTTGGTATTGGAGTATCTGAGATTTCTGAGCGTAAACTGAGGATAGCGTCTGATTCCGGTAAGCAGTATTTTTCATTAGATTTGAGGAATGGCGAGCTGATTGTGAAGGGCGTCATAGACAGAGAGGATCTATGCGAACAAAGCGCCAGTTGCGTGCTGCCATTGCAAATAATAATCGAGGATCCTCTTCAGTTTTATCGCGTGGAGATCGAAATACAAGATATAAACGACAATTCCCCACGTTTTCTTTCTGGTACGAACATTTTAGACGTGCCTGAGTCGACACCGACTGGAGCAAAATTTCGTTTAGAGCCTGCCCAAGACCCTGATGTTGGATCTAACGCTTTACGAACGTACACGTTAAGTAAAAATGATTATTTTGTCCTGAACCTCAAGAATAACAAAGATGGGACGAAAGTCCCAGAGCTTGTGCTGGAGAAGCTTCTCGATAGGGAAAAAAAGCCTATTCACCAGCTCATTTTAACAGGCATTGATGGGGGGAATCCGGTTAGATCAGGGAGCACTGAAATCACAGTGAGGGTCATGGATGTCAATGATAACGCTCCAATATTTGAGAAAGATTTATATGAGATTAAAGTAATGGAAAACTGCGCCCCAGGTACGCTTATACTGACTGTAAAAGCAAATGACTTGGATGAAGGGATTAATAGCCAAATACAGTATTCCTTTGGGGCACATACGTCAGAAATTATTCAGAATTTCTTCACTATCAACCCAGAAACGGGTGAAGTGTCTGTGTCCAAAAATCTCGATTATGAAAGCAATAAATTATTTGAGTTTGATATACGAGCTAGAGACAAAGGAACCCCAGCAATGGAGGGACATTGTAGAGTCCAGGTGGCAGTGGTAGATGTGAATGATAATGCTCCAGAGATCACCATCGCCTCCTCGCCTAAACCTGTGCGAGAGGACGCACCAGCGGGGACCATGGTAGCGTTGATAAACGTTAAAGATCTGGATTCAGGCGAGAATGGAAACGTAACGTTAACGACGTCCACTAACCACCCATTTAAACTAAAGCCAACGTTTTCCAATCATTACGCACTGATTACAGATGCGAAATTAGACCGAGAGCAGTTCCCAGAGTATAATATTGAGCTCAAAGCCTCCGATTCTGGATCGCCACCCTTATTCACAAGCAAGTTTGTCAGAGTAAATATACTAGATGTGAATGACAACGCTCCAGTATTTTCTATGCCCGTATACTCAGTTTACGTTAAAGAGAACTGCCCCCCGGGATCAATTCTATCATCAGTGTCAGCCACAGATGTAGATACGGGTGAAAATGCTAAAATAACATATTCTGTGCTAGATTCCAAAAAACAAGACATACCTGTATCTTCTTATGTGTATATTAACTCAGATAATGGCAGCATTTACTCCATGCACTCCTTCGACTATGAGAAAATGAAAGTGTTCCAGATCCAAGTTCAGGCGAAAGATCACGGCTCTCCGTCTCTGAGCAGCAACGCCACAGTCCATGTGTTCATTCTGGACCAGAACGACAATGCCCCCGCGGTCATTTACCCCTCTGCAGTCATGGGCTCCGTCTCTCATCAGAGGATGCCCCGCTCCGCTAAAGCAGGGCACCTCGTTACTAAGGTCACAGCAGTGGACGCTGACTCGGGCCATAACGCCTGGATCTCCTATCGGCTCGCGGAGGCCACGGACGCGTCTCTGTTCAGCGTCAATCTGCACACAGGAGAGGTGAGGACTAAGCGCTCCGTCTCCGAGCAGGATGACTCCTCTCAGAGGCTGCTGATAGAGATAAAGGACAACGGAGAGCCAGTGCAGTCCACCACGGTCACCGTGGATGTGCTGATAGAGGACGGCTTTCATGAGCCCATCTCAGACTATCGGAAGAAAAGCACAGAGATCAGTAAGAAAAGTGGGAAAATCACTCTGTATCTGATCATCTCTCTCGCTTCGGTTTCGTTGCTGTGTTTGATGACGTTCTTCATCTTACTGGTGAAATGTGCTCGAGGCAGTAGAGGCAGCTCGAGCTGCTGTATCAGGCGGAGCGAGTCTGGATATAAAAACCCCAACAGAAACCTGCAGATCCAACTCAACACTGATGGACCCATTAAGTATGTGGAGGTGCTGGGAGGAGACATGATGTCTCAGAGTCAGTCGTTCGGCTCCTATCTCTCTCCAATGTCCGAGTTCAGTGATTTCACCCTCGTTAAGCCCAGCAGCACCACAGACTTTACAGACACGCTGAACGTGCTCGATGCGTCACTTCCTGACAGCACGTGGAAGTTTGAAAGTCAGCAGGTGAGTGCTTGTTGGAATAAGTATGTGTTTTTGTTGTTCGTTGCTGGTTAGTGGCTCCTTTGTTACCCTGACCTCTGATTGCCCGTCACTTTCGGTGCTGTTCTTGTGGTTTGTGGTGCTGAAATCTCATGTTGAGCTGGATGCGCTGTATTTCATATGCTGGTATTTTTATTTCGCCGATTGCACTCAGCAGTGATGAAAGCTACATTTTTTTCTAGTTCTTTATATTTTATAGTTGCTAAGCGCTTTGAAAATGAGAAATGTCTTAAGCACAGCAGCACCACAGACTTTACAGACACGCTGAACGTGCTCGATGCGTAGTTACCTGACAGCACGTGAAAGTTCGAGAGCCAATAAGTTAGTCTTTGTTTTTGTTTTTTTTTGTTTGTTTGTTTTGTTTTGTTTTTTGTATAAAGTTTTTCCTTCTGTGCAAAAAAAAAGTATTTAAAGCGTTTTCGTAACATTTTATTCTTATTGTAGTCTCATTTCTTTTTAAATATATATGCGTCCATTTTTTCTATGCATTTCAGAGATGTTTCGCCACATATTGAACGTGGTTCATATGAACCATCAGCGTTCTGTCATTTAACGTTGCAAGGTTGAACAAGTTTTACAGGACAATGACCAAAACTGCGTCGACAAACAAGGATTCAGAAAACTTTCTTAATTTAAAGTTCTATTTCATTTGGGTGGCGGCAAAAAGGCCAGAGTACTAAAATGCCACAATTTATTATTATTATTATTATTATTATTATTATTATTATTATTATTATTATTATTATTGTTGTTGTTGTTTTCCTATAGTAAGGAGGAATAACTGCATAAATTTTCCTTTTGTTGGATTGTCGAACCTTATATATTCTTTTCTTTTCAAACCATTTTATCTTTGATTATCAGCAACAACACACTCTAACTTGGAAGTTTAGCTTTTAAACCTGGAAAATAAACTAGAAACTGTTGTGTTTGTAGTTTAACATTAGTTATTGACTCCCAACAGCCTTTGAAGCGGTCTGATGTAATTACGCATATTTTCAAAAATTGAGTTGTGGGGAAAATGCTTTGTTAGGATTAACTATAAAGCTTGATCAACCTCGCATAAGTAGTTGTGAGAAACTGAAAAAGAACTGTAGTCGCTTCACATCTTAATCGAGCTCTATATTTTGTAGATAAATAACTTGAGTTATTTGTTCACATAAGGTGGATGTATTGTTATTATTACTGAAATTTCGGTACATGGTGAATATATGTAAATGTCGTGTGGGTTTTCGTGTGTGTGTGTGTGTGTGTGTGTGTGTGTGTGTGTGTGTGTGTGTGCTGGGAGAGAGAAAGGAAGTCAACTTGAGTCGAACAATAATGACACAATTCAGTTGTCTGTTGCTGTCCAATACAGTGGTGCTGAAATTCTGAGAGCTCAGAATTCTGTTATCTTCAAACTCTTCTGTTTCCTTTATGCTTCACGCTCACATATTAATGTTATATTACAGATGGTGCTGTTCAGACGTGGTCAATCTGTAGTCCTACATTTATTTTATTGTTTACTTAATTTTCTACGTGCTATGTTTACTTTGGCATGAGAGAACTTATGCTATATGGCTGCACATTGCTCTAGTCACACTGTCTCTTTAAACGGCAGCTCATTACTCCTCCCAGTCTATTGGTGCGCCATGAACCAATAGGAGGCCAGTACAGTACAAAGAGATCTACTCCCTCCCCTTTCCATTGTGTCATTCCTCTCACAAGAGGAGCTTCAGCCTGCAGCGTCGGATGCACACAGATTCAGTCTTTCGGTCGACCAACAGACAAAGGATTCCACTGTATTTGAAATGATTTACACGCTATTATATCGCGCGATACATTTCGGATATACAAAATGGAGATTATGATGAGAAAAATGCGGAGAAAATGGTGGATTGCCGGGCTGCTTCATGCTCTTGCTGTGTGGAATATAATCGAGGCACAGATCCGCTACACCATCCCAGAGGAGCTAAATGAGGGCACTGTGGTGGGAAATATCGCCAAAGACCTGGATTTGAAATTATCGGAGGTTTTTGAACGGAATTTGCGGATCGCTTCCGAGTCTGGTAAGCAGTATTTCGGCGTGGATTCAGCCAAAGGTGAGCTGGTAGTGAGTGAGAGAATCGACAGAGAGACGTTATGCAGTCAAAGCGCCACTTGCCTCCTTCCGTTAGAGGCTATAGTAGAAAATCCATTACAGCTGTATCGCGTTGAAATAGAGATACAGGATATTAATGACAATTCTCCAGTTTTTCAAAACAACGAGAAGGTTTTAAACATAGCTGAGTCAACAGTGCCTGGTGCAAGATTTCGGTTAGAAGCTGCTCAAGACCCTGATGTTGGTTCAAATTCATTGCAGACTTATACACTTAGTAAAAACGAACATTTTACACTAGATATGAAATTAGCTAAAGACGGATCTCAAGTTCCAGAGCTTGTGTTAGAAAAACCTCTAGACAGAGAGAAACAGTCAACAATCAGTCTCATGTTAACAGCCTTAGATGGAGGTAAACCTGCCAGATCTGGCACAGCAGAAATCACTGTTTTTGTTCTTGACATAAATGATAATTCACCAGTTTTTGAAAAGGCCCAGTATGACACAAAACTTGCAGAAAATACATCGCCAGGTGTCGTAGTGGTGACTGTAAAAGCTGTAGACCCGGATGAAGGTCTAAACAATGAAATAAGCTATTCGTTTGGACCACACACACCAGATTTGGTACACAATTTGTTTTCTGTTGATTCAGTGACTGGAGAGGTTAAGGTAAAAAATAAAATAGATTTTGAAACAGATAACTCTTTTGATTTTGATATTGTTGCTAGAGACAAAGGCACTCCTCCAATGGAAGGTCTTTGTAGTCTCCACTTGGATATTTTGGATATGAACGATAATGCTCCTGAAATAGTACTAAAGTCTCTGCCCAGTCCTGTGCGTGAAGACGCTCCTGTTGGAACAGTTGTGGCTTTGATAAGCGCTAAAGATTTAGACACAGGAGATAACGGCAAAGTCAGTCTGACTTTATTACCCGGCGTTCCTTTTTCATTAAAACCCTCAATTTCCAATCATTATACACTAATTACGGACCAAAAACTGGACAGAGAGTCTCACTCTGTGTATAATGTTGTTATAGTAGCTGCTGATTCTGGATCCCCTCAGCTCACATCTAAACAGGAGATCCTCGTCAGTGTTTTAGATGTAAATGATAACCCACCTGTTTTCACTCAGCCGTTTTACACTGTTTATGTGAAAGAAAACAGCGCTGCTGGTTCCATATTGTGTTCAGTTTCAGCTTCTGATCCAGATCAGGGAGAAAATGCCAAAGTGTCGTATTCTGTATTAGATTCTAGAGTTCTCGACACTCCAGTATCATCTTATATCTACATAAACTCAGATAATGGCAGCATTTACTCCATGCACTCCTTCGACTATGAGAAAATGAAAGTGTTCCAGATCCAAGTTCAGGCGAAAGATCACGGCTCTCCGTCTCTGAGCAGCAACGCCACAGTCCATGTGTTTATTCTGGACCAGAACGACAATGCCCCCGCGGTCATTTACCCCTCTGCAGTCATGGGCTCCGTCTCTCATCAGAGGATGCCCCGCTCCGCTAAAGCAGGGCACCTCGTTACTAAGGTCACAGCAGTGGACGCTGACTCGGGCCATAACGCCTGGATCTCCTATCGGCTCGCGGAGGCCACGGACGCGTCTCTGTTCAGCGTCAATCTGCACACAGGAGAGGTGAGGACTAAGCGCTCCGTCTCCGAGCAGGATGACTCCTCTCAGAGGCTGCTGATAGAGATAAAGGACAACGGAGAGCCAGTGCAGTCCACCACGGTCACCGTGGATGTGCTGATAGAGGACGGCTTTCATGAGCCCATCTCAGACTATCGGAAGAAAAGCACAGAGATCAGTAAGAAAAGTGGGAAAATCACTCTGTATCTGATCATCTCTCTCGCTTCTGTTTCGTTGCTGTGTTTGATGACGTTCTTCATCTTACTGGTGAAATGTGCTCGAGGCAGTAGAGGCAGCTCGAGCTGCTGTATCAGGCGGAGCGAGTCTGGATATAAAAACCCCAACAGAAACCTGCAGATCCAGCTCAACACTGACGGACCCATTAAGTATGTGGAGGTGCTGGGAGGAGACATGATGTCTCAGAGTCAGTCGTTCGGCTCCTATCTCTCTCCAATGTCCGAGTTCAGTGATTTCACCCTCGTTAAGCCCAGCAGCACCACAGACTTCACAGACACGCTCAACGTGCTCGATGCGTCACTTCCTGACAGCACGTGGAAGTTTGAGAGTCAGCAGGTGGGTGCGTTTTTTGAAATATCAGTCTGGCAAGCATTTATACTTATCATTATCGTTATCAGTAGCTTTTATTCTGTCCTTAGAGGCGTTATTATGTGCTTAGACATGAACGTTTTGTGCTTTACTCGACTGCATTGTTGTATTTTGTTCTTTTCACGTGAAAGCAGATGGTTTATTGCATGAATTGCGCCTCTTGTTTATTTTTACAATCCCGAGATGCTTTAAGAGATACTGAAACTATTTCAAATTGATCTTTCCATGTTCCTCCCACAAATGCGTTAATTCACCCAATGTTGCAAAATTGGAAAAGCTTAATAAAACCCTGACAATTATCCCATTCACATCCATAAATTTATAGAACATTATTAATTTCAAATATTGTTTATTTTGTATGAGTGTTGAAGGACACAGTCCTGAAACTAATTATGCTCACTTGTCTGCGAGCTTACATTTCATTTTCCTTCAAAAAAATAAATAATAATAAAAAAAATGACACAGCAGCTATATTTTCCACATCAATGGGCAGCTCCTTCACTGCTTGTACTGATCATTCGTTTTTAGTTGTCTCATCGATAGTAACATATTTCAGTTCGCCAGAGACATTCAAACGCAGCTACGTACCCTGTCTTATGATATCATTTCAATGTTCTCTCTTAATTTCCAATTCTGGCGACCTCTAGTAAGTAGCGATGTTCCAATTCAATAGGATTCTGAACGTCCTTACTGTGGAATGCTAGATCAATAACATAACGCCATTTAAAGAGACAGTGTACAGCATTCACAATGTTTTCCTTTCCATTGTGTTGAGGAATAACTGCTATAAAGATACTTAAAAAAGTGTAGCATTTGGGAAATTCCATGTCGTTTTTGTTTCAAGCCTGGCTAGTATTGATCGTCTACTAGAACACTACTCAGTTTGAAATCTTAGCATTTGACACTGGAAACCCTTTGTTTGGTGAAGCTAACAACACTGTCGCTGTCCAATGTGAAGTTTATTTTTACCAAAACCGAGTTACCAGCTGCAACTTCTGATTAGGCCCTGTTTATTCAAACTCGTAATGTTAGCTACCATAGAAATCATTTGTAATATAAGTCTGCATAGATCAGTTGACACTTGCTTTTAGCTCCTGCCATATACATACTGTAATTGTAACGTCCCGCTACTTGCTGGCGCTGTCGTGGGAGGCGTGGCCATGCAGAGTGGCCAGCGCGGAGCCTCTTGGGAGGTGGCACGTTCGCTGTAGGAGAGACTTTTCATATAGATGTTGTTATTGCTGAGCTTGAAGGTGTATCTGTGTGTTGCTTGTGTTATTCTGTGTGTGGGTTTACTGTCTACTGCAAAGTAGAGATGCATGGCAAGAACAGGACAATGAACTACATGTTCAGTAAAGAACATTCACAGCTTCCCGTGTCTTGTTCCGCAAAGACATCACATTATTATTGGTTCTGCTGTTTCACAAGCTTTAGTACATATTAGTATGTTGTCATGTTTCAAAGTGGAATTTGATGTAGCACAGTGTTTTAGCTTGATTGCCAAGATATGCAACAGTAGCCATATATCTGCACATGTATGATTGTGAAGACATATTGAACTTTCACTGTGAATAGACTAACAAATTGATTATATTGTATTATCCTAAAGATTTTAAAACCTATAGATTTTTTTTTCATTTTTCATTTTGAATCAAGCTCTCTGGTGTAAACCCTATTATGCATAACTAATATACTTGAAATAGTTTACTTATTTATCTTCCATTGTTTTCAGTTCATTTTATTACAACAAATGTCACGTGCATGTGTGTGTGTGTGTGTGTGTGTGTGTGTGTGTGAGAGAGAGAGAGAGAGAGAGAGAGAGAGAGAGAGAGAGAAGATTGAAAGAAGTAGTAAACTGAGTGGGTTGCCTAACATGGACAACTAGTTCAGTGAAGTATCTGTCGCTCTCCACAACAGTGGTGCTGAACTTTTGACTACTCAGAATTCTGTTCTCCCCGGTTTCCTTCACTTTTTTACTCAAACATTCAAGTGAAGTTGTAAAACAGATGAAGTTCAGACGGGCAGTGAGCTCCCATATTCTTAAACTAATGCTGCATTATTATTATTTGCTTCACTATTTACGTGTTTTGTTCACTTTGGCCTCAGATGTCTCATACATAGCGCACAGCTCCAGCCGCACTGTCTCTTTAAACGGCAGCTCATTACTCCTCCCAGTCTATTGGTGCGCCATGAACCAATAGGAGGCCAGTACAGTACAAAGAGATCTACTCCCTCCCCTTTCCATTGTGTCATTCCTCTCACAAGAGGAGCTTCAGCCTGCAGCGTCGGATGCACACAGATTCAGTCTTTCAGTCGACCAACAGACAAAGGATTCCACTGTATTTGAAATGATTTACACGCTGTTATATCGCGCGATACATTTCGGATATACAAAATGGAGATTATGATGAGAAAAATGCGGAGAAAATGGTGGATTGCCGGGCTGCTTCATGTTCTTGCTGTGTGGAATATAATCGAGGCACAGATCCGCTACACCATCCCAGAGGAGCTAAATGAGGGCACTGTGGTGGGAAATATCGCCAAAGACCTGGATTTGAAATTATCTGAGGTTTTTGAACGGAATTTGCGGATCGCTTCCGAGTCTGGTAAGCAGTATTTCGGCGTGGATTCAGCCAAAGGTGAGCTGGTAGTGAGTGAGAGAATCGACAGAGAGACGTTTTGCAGTCAAAGCGCCACTTGCCTCCTTCCGTTAGAGGCTATAGTAGAAAATCCATTACAGCTGTATCGCGTTGAAATAGAGATACAGGATATTAATGACAATTCTCCAGTTTTTCAAAACAACGAGAAGGTTTTAAACATAGCTGAATCAACAGTGCCTGGTGCAAGATTTCGGTTAGAAGCTGCTCAAGATCCTGATGTTGGCTCAAATTCACTGCGGACTTATACACTTAGTAAAAATGAACACTTTGTGTTGGATATAAAAACAGAAAAGGATGGAACTAAAGTTCCTCAACTGGTTTTAGAAACGTCTTTAGACAGGGAGAAGCAACCGACTCTCTCAATTCTACTTACTGCTTTAGATGGAGGAAAACCTGCCAGAAGTGGTACAGCTGAAATCATTGTTCGCGTTCTTGATATCAATGATAATGCGCCACTTTTTGAAAAAGCTCAATATGACGCACAAATTATAGAAAACACATCACCAGGAGCTGTAGTTGTTTCTGTGAAAGCTTTGGATCGAGATGAAGGTGCTAATAGTGAAGTTATTTATTCACTCGCACCACATACATCTGAATTAATACAGAATTTGCTGTCCATTGACTCTCTGACTGGAGACATTAAAGTGAAAAGTAATATAGACTATGAGGCGGGTAGCTCCTTCAAATTTGACATCGTTGCCACAGATAAAGGTACTCCACCGATGGAGGGCGTTTGTAGCTTACATGTAGAAGTTTTGGATATGAACGATAATGCACCTGAAATAGTACTAAAGTCTCTGCCCAGTCCTGTGCGTGAAGATGCTCCTGTTGGAACAGTTGTGGCTTTGATAAGCGCTAAAGATTTAGACACAGGAGATAACGGCAAAGTCAGTCTGACTTTATTACCCGGCGCTCCTTTTTCATTAAAACCCTCAATTTCCAATCATTATACACTAATTACGGACCAAAAACTGGACAGAGAGTCTCACTCTGTGTATAATGTTGTTATAGTAGCTGCTGATTCTGGATCTCCTCAGCTCACATCTAAACAGGAGATCCTCGTCAGTGTTTTAGATGTAAATGATAACCCACCTGTTTTCACTCAGCCGTTTTACACTGTTTACGTGAAAGAAAACAGCGCTGCTGGTTCCATATTGTGCTCAGTTTCAGCTTCTGATCCAGATCAGGGAGAAAATGCCAAAGTGTCGTATTCTGTATTAGATTCTAGAGTTCTCGACACTCCAGTATCATCTTATATCTACATAAACTCAGATAATGGCAGCATTTACTCCATGCACTCCTTCGACTATGAGAAAATGAAAGTGTTCCAGATCCAAGTTCAGGCGAAAGATCACGGCTCTCCGTCTCTGAGCAGCAACGCCACAGTTCATGTGTTTATTCTGGACCAGAACGACAATGCCCCCGCGGTCATTTACCCCTCTGCAGTCATGGGCTCCGTCTCACATCAGAGGATGCCCCGCTCCGCTAAAGCAGGACACCTCGTTACTAAGGTCACAGCAGTGGACGCTGACTCGGGCCATAACGCCTGGATCTCCTATCGGCTCGCGGAGGCCACGGACGCGTCTCTGTTCAGCGTCAATCTGCACACAGGAGAGGTGAGGACTAAGCGCTCCGTCTCCGAGCAGGATGACTCCTCTCAGAGGCTGCTGATAGAGATAAAGGACAACGGAGAGCCAGTGCAGTCCACCACGGTCACCGTGGATGTGCTGATAGAGGACGGCTTTCATGAGCCCATCTCAGACTATCGGAAGAAAAGCACAGAGATCAGTAAGAAAAGTGGGAAAATCACTCTGTATCTGATCATCTCTCTCGCTTCGGTTTCGTTGCTGTGTTTGATGACGTTCTTCATCTTACTGGTGAAATGTGCTCGAGGCAGTAGAGGCAGCTCGAGCTGCTGTATCAGGCGGAGCGAGTCTGGATATAAAAACCCCAACAGAAACCTGCAGATCCAGCTCAACACTGACGGACCCATTAAGTATGTGGAGGTGCTGGGAGGAGACATGATGTCTCAGAGTCAGTCGTTCGGCTCCTATCTCTCTCCAATGTCCGAGTTCAGTGATTTCACCCTCGTTAAGCCCAGCAGCACCACAGACTTCACAGACACGCTCAACGTGCTCGATGCGTCACTTCCTGACAGCACGTGGAAGTTTGAGAGTCAGCAGGTGAGGAATGCGGTACATTTCGTTTCAGTTCAATGTAAGAAATGTTTCTGAGTTGATTGAGTTGAAGTCTACAAATGTTAAAGTGAATTCTCGTCGTTTTACTGCATTTGTCAAAGTCTGAGTTGGACAGAGTTTGAGATTGACTGACGTTTGATTGACATTGCTTTTTCAAGAATGCATAGGAAAATGAAAACTCATTGATCATTCATCAGTTGTTAATTATTGATTTATTTCTTTTTTTTTTGATTTTGCAGACTTTTCTAGTCAATATCATCGTTGCGTTTTGCACCACAAGCGGTTGTTTATCTTGAATTTATGTCTTGTGGCTTACGTGGGCTAAAATTTCATTTCCGTAGTGGTGCTAAGTGTTACTCATGATTTTGAGTTCATGTGAAAAACTCACTACAGCAAATAGATTTATACAGTGTAGTTGGCGTGGCACTTGCTATTACCCCGTTAATAAAAAATGGTTCTTCAAGTTTCGTTGTAAAGACAATGGTTCTATTTAGAACCTTGGATTCTATTTAGATCCACTTCATATTTCAATATTGTTTACATGATAAAATGATTCTTCAGATTGATGGAGAATGTGTTGTATGAATACCTATATAGTTCCTTTTTTGAAAATTATGTATAGCGCCAAAAAGGGTTCTTCCACTGTTACAATGTCAAGCTCGTAACAATAGAAGAACCTTTTATAGAACCATATACAACACATTCTCTATTAATCTGAATAAGCTTTTCCCCATGCAAAGAACCATTTAAGCGTGAAATGGTTCTGAATAGAGCCACTTCCTTCCCTAAAGAACCTGTTTGTTTGGTTTGTTTTTGCTATATTCCAGTTACCTCATTGATAAGTCCCTCTACCTGCTTACTAATACTCAATAACAATGGTAGCAGCACAGCTAGTTAGCACGTTGTTTAGCTGGCTGACCATTTAAAACACTCCGAAGCGAAAAATTGCTTGTTAGCATGTTGGCATATCAGTTCCCATAGTATAATACGAGCTATAAAATGAATATCGATATAGCTAAAATCATGAAGTAAACGTTTATAGCCTACATTTTGTGACAATAAAGCAAATAAAACATCGTACACTGAATAAAGTGGGCTAACATTTATGTAGCTGCTGTTATCTTAAACGGAAATTCTCAGGAAATAGTTATGTGTATTTTTATTTATTTATTGAATTATTTTATTTTAAATATATACTTTTAGATTAATGATATATTAGATTTGCCTTAAAATCTTGTCTGCGTAAGATACGTGTGTGTGTGTGTGTGTGTGTGTGTGTGTGTGTGTGTATGGGGGGTGGGGGTATTTATGGCATCCTGTCTAATTGTTTTACTCAGCTTTTGCGCGCGTTTGATGACGCAATCGCCCATTGATATTCTACTAGGTTTTGAGACATTGTCTATGCTTTACATGTGCAAGTAATGATTAAACAGTGTCATTACATTATGACTTTTACCAAGTCCTAGGTTCACAATTTACCTGTAAACAGATGCATTTTAAAATGGCAACTCTTTCAGCTCTGCATTGATATACAGATATACAGTCTATACTGCCGTACTGACAAACATGTATAGCCCATGCTTCTGTTTATATTTTCAGAAATATGTTAACTTAATTAAAGTTGTTTTAACGTTATTTCCATTTTTGAAAATATTCTCGTTTTTTTCTGAGTCTATGCTTTCGCTGTAAACCTATCCATCCATCCCTATAAAATGGTACAGTGTCAGATTCTTTGTAGGTGTATATTCCAGTACATTGTGTTCACGTTTTCCACCTGTAGACGTACTGAAATAATAACATATGTTAAGGATGATACCATCAGAATTGTGTTCACTGAATAAAAGCACACGCTAAATCATTTCTCATGACGTAGTGAAATACAGCAACTCCCTAAATCGTTCGTATGGAGTAAAATGGGCTTCTCACTGCTGCTGTTAATATGTCTGGTATGGCCCTTTAAGACGCTGCTCAAGCTTGCGCTCTACTGGAGCGCTGTCCACCAATAGGGTGCTGAAGCACACAAAGAGATCCACTCTCCGCGCCTCAGTGTCTTAGAGCCTCAGCCAAAGCTCAGACCGACAGGGCAGCGTTCACAATGAGGACTCGCCTCAAAGCCAGCGGTTTGGGATTGTGATTATGGATTAGGACGATTTCTTCGCTTCATTGCAATGCTTTCGGACGCAGAACATCTACCAGCATCATGTTTGTGGAGATGGGAGCGATAATATGGAAAACGCGTGTTTCATGGCAAGCGCTGTGGCTTTTCTGCCTCTCCTGGAATACAATAGTGGCGCAGATCCGCTACTCCATTCCCGAGGAGTTGAAAATAGGGTCTGTGGTGGGCAATATCGCAAAAGATCTGGACCTGAAGCTCTCTGATATATCAGATCGCAAGTTACAGATAGCAACCGAGACTGGTAAGCAGTATTTCGGCATTGATTTGGGGAAGGGAGAGTTAGTAATTGCGGACAGAGTCGATAGGGAAGAAATATGTGGACCGATCGCCAAGTGTACCTTAACACTGGAAGCTATAATAGAAAACCCTTTACAAATGTACCGCGTCGAAATTGACATACAGGATGTAAATGATAATTCGCCTTTGTTTATCAATAACCAGATTGTTGTTAATGTCGAGGAGGCTAAAACGCCTGGAGCTAGATTTCGTTTGGAGTCGGCAAAGGACCCGGATATAGGATCAAATTCTTTACACTCGTATGTACTGAGTAAAAACGAGCATTTTATACTGAGTGTAAAAAACAAAGATGGTACTAAAATACCTGAACTGGTTTTGGAAAAGGCTTTAGATAGGGAGAAGCAGTCAAGCCATAGCCTCTTGCTTACTGCAGTGGATGGTGCGACTCCTGCACAGTCTGGAACCACAACGATAATAATCCGGGTTCAAGACAGTAATGATAACTCTCCTGTTTTTGAAAAGCCCTCATATAAAGTCAAACTACCAGAAAGCACCTCAATAGGGACTGTAATTTTGTCAGTGAAAGCCAACGATTCCGATGAAGGTTCCAATAGCGAGATTACGTATTGTTTTGAACCAAACACGCCAATGAGCATTCAGAATTTATTCTCTATTGATTCAGAGCAGGGTGCTATTAGTGTTAAAGATGTTTTAGACTTTGAGACAGTCAGCTCCTTTAAATTTGAGGTCATCGCCTCAGACAAAGGAGCTTCACCACTGGAGGGACTATGTAGCGTTGAAATTGAAATACTGGATGTAAATGATAATGTGCCAGAGATTCTATTGAAATCTGTTCCTAAGCCAGTTAGGGAAGATGCTCCCCTCGGTACCGTGGTGGCTTTAATAGGAGCCAAGGATAGTGATTCTGGAGAAAATGGAAAAGTCCACCTAAGAATCCAGTCAGGTTTACCTTTCACGCTAAAACCATCTATTTCCAACTATTATGCATTAGTAACCGACTCATATTTGGACCAAGAAACATTTCCTAAATATACAGTTGAGATCACTGCGCAAGATTCCGGAAGTCCCCCACTTGAGTCTAAAACCCAAATATATGTGGACGTATTAGATGTAAATGATAATCCACCAGTGTTTCCTCACTCATCATATACTGTCTATGTGAAAGAAAACGTAGGTGCTGGCAATGTGTTATTTACAGTGTCCGCCTCTGATCCAGATCAGGGAGAAAATGCCAAAATTTCATATTCCATCTTAGATTCACAAATTAAGGGAATTTCAGTTTCATCTTATTTCTATATAAACTCAGATAATGGCAGCATTTACTCCATGCACTCCTTCGACTATGAGAAAATGAAAGTGTTCCGGATCCAAGTTCAGGCGAAAGATCACGGCTCTCCGTCTCTGAGCAGCAACGCCACAGTTCATGTGTTTATTCTGGACCAGAACGACAATGCCCCCGCGGTCATTTACCCCTCTGCAGTCATGGGCTCCGTCTTACATCAGAGGATGCCCCGCTCCGCTAAAGCAGGGCACCTCGTTACTAAGGTCACAGCAGTGGACGCTGACTCGGGCCATAACGCCTGGATCTCCTATCGGCTCGCGGAGGCCACGGACGCGTCTCTGTTCAGCGTCAATCTGCACACAGGAGAGGTGAGGACTAAGCGCTCCGTCTCCGAGCAGGATGACTCCTCTCAGAGGCTGCTGATAGAGATAAAGGACAACGGAGAGCCAGTGCAGTCCACCACGGTCACCGTGGATGTGCTGATAGAGGACGGCTTTCATGAGCCCATCTCAGACTATCGGAAGAAAAGCACAGAGATCAGTAAGAAAAGTGGGAAAATCACTCTGTATCTGATCATCTCTCTCGCTTCGGTTTCGTTGCTGTGTTTGATGACGTTCTTCATCTTACTGGTGAAATGTGCTCGAGGCAGTAGAGGCAGCTCGAGCTGCTGTATCAGGCGGAGCGAGTCTGGATATAAAAACCCCAACAGAAACCTGCAGATCCAGCTCAACACTGACGGACCCATTAAGTATGTGGAGGTGCTGGGAGGAGACATGATGTCTCAGAGTCAGTCGTTCGGCTCCTATCTCTCTCCAATGTCCGAGTTCAGTGATTTCACCCTCGTTAAGCCCAGCAGCACCACAGACTTTACAGACACGCTGAACGTGCTCGATGCGTCACTTCCTGACAGCACGTGGAAGTTCGAGAGTCAGCAGGTGAGAAACGATGCAGAATGAATATGCACACGCGAGTGATTGATTTTTCTTTACATACATAAACAGTGGTGGTTTGCTACCTCATTACTCTTGCGCGTGTGTGGGTGGGGTCTTGCGTGAGAGAGAGAGAGAGAGAGAGGGAGAGAGTAGTTGTTCTTTTGTTCCTCATTTCTCTATTATATCTTCCTTCTTGTGAGACAGTGTCAAGCTTGTTACAGTAGAAGAATCATTTTTGGTGCTATATAGAACCATTTTCAAAAAAGGTTCTATATAGAAATATATACAACACTTTCTCCATTAATGGGAAGAACTATAGAACAATGCGAAGAACCATTAAGCATATAAATGTTTTTTTTGTTTTGTTTGTTTTTTTTTTGAGTGTTTATGATTCTGTATAGAACCCTTGTCTTTACTAACGAAGCTTAAATACTCAAAGAACCATTAAGCATACGAATGGTTATTTGAGTGTTTATGGTTCTATATAGAACCGTTGTATTAACTAAAGAACCCTTGAATAGCAACCCTTGACCAACTTTTTAAAGTGTTATATATGCATAATGACCATACATACATCATCATAAGGATTAATTGCAACAGTTAATCATAATTTCAAGTTTTAATGGCTTGCTTTGGCCTATTTATTTATTAATTAATTTATTTATTCATTTATTTATTTATTTACTGTATGTTTTAAAACAGTATATTGTTCCTCTTTTTTTCGTGTTGCTGTTGCGCTTATTTATTTATTTATTTATTTATTTACTTACTTACTTACTTATTTATTATTTATTTAAAATAAGTCTGCTTAGGTAAACTTACCTATTGCAAAGTTAATCAGAGCGCCCGCAAACCCTGTAACCTTCTCTGTATTAGCAGTCTGCACTGAGGCAATGACAGCCACCGTGCTTTCCCTTTAAATGCGCCGTGTCGCCCATTGGACGACAGAGGGCTCAGCTCTGCTCCAATGGTATGCTAGCTTGTACAAAGGGATCTAGTCCCTCCCTCTGCCACAGCAGCAGCACAATGATCAGGCTGTAGAGAAAGAGGACGCGCTCCCACTGATGGATACAATGCTGGTCATAAGGCGAGCACTTCGAGCGGATTGTTCCTTTGTTCATTCTTCGGAAATGAAAGCTTCATATTTTTGTGGATGTACAGGAGAAGTTTGTTGATGGAACAGGCTGAGGCACCGGGGAAATGAGACACAAAGGAAACCGAGGCTGGAAACGGGCAGCGTTTTGGCTGCTTTGTCTCTCTGGGTGGTGGAAAACAGTCGGAGCCCAGATTCGCTACACCATAGCGGAGGAAGTGAAGGAAGGATCTGTTGTAGGAAATATCGCCAAGGACCTTGGCTTTGACCTCTCACACATTGCAGATCGTAAGTTACGAATAGCTTCTGAGTCTAGTAGGCAGTATTTCGGCGTGGATTCAGAAAAAGGCGAGCTAACGGTCAGTGGGAGAATAGACAGAGAGGCGCTATGTGGGCAGAACGTAAAGTGTCTACTGCCCTTACAGATCATTATAGAAGAGCCGTTACAGCTGCATCGTGTGGAGATAGAAATACAGGACATAAATGACAACGCGCCCAGTTTTCATACCAAAGATGGTGTATTGAAAATAGCTGAATCTGCAGCTGTAGGTTCGCGATTTCCTCTTGAGAGTGCAGAGGACCCAGATGTGGGCAAAAACAGCTTAAAGTCTTATTCCTTAAATACTAATGAGCATTTCCGTTTAAATGTGAAAACCTTTGAAGGTGGTAGAAAAGTGCCAGAGCTAATACTTGATAAACCTCTGGACAGAGAGAAGCAGCCTGTTCACAAGCTCATATTAACAGCACTGGACGGTGGAGATCCAGTCAGATCTGGAACCACGTTAATAAAGATAATTGTAGAAGACAGTAATGATAATGAACCCCAGTTTGAGCTTCAAACATACAAAGCCTCTGTACAGGAGAGCGCTGCTGTTGGTATAACTGTGGTAACTATCAAAGCTACAGATTTAGATGAAGGCATTAACGGAGAAATACAGTATTATTTCGGTGTGCATACACCCGAGCAGGTCAGGAACGTCTTCAGTGTGAATCCAGACACTGGTGAAATTACTGTGATTGGAAAATTAGATCACGAGGGAACCAATTCGTACACATTTGATGTCTGTGCTAAAGACAAAGGGCAGCCAAAACTGGAGGGACATTCCTCAGTTCAGGTCCTTGTTATTGATGAAAATGATAACCCTCCTGAGATTATACTCACATCTTTACCCAACCCAGTGCCAGAAAATGCTTCAGTTGGTACCGTTGTTGCTTTGATTAACGTCATGGATTTGGACTCGGGGGAAAATGGCAAAGTAGATCTAAAAATCCCCCCCAAATTCCCATTTAAACTGAAGCCCTCTTTTGATAACCACTATTCTTTGGTGACAGATTCAGTCTTGGATCGCGAATCAAACCCAGAGTATAATATTGATATCACTGCTACAGATTCTGGCTCACCACCGTTGAAACACCGTAAAGACTATAAATGTTAAAGTTCTCGACATAAACGACAACGCTCCTGTGTTCTCACAGCCTTCATATAACGTGTATATCAAGGAGAATAATGTAGCAGGTGCCTCGCTGTTTTCCGTAGCTGCTCTAGATAGTGATGTCGATAAGAACGCTATGCTGACATACTCACTTGTGGATTCTAAGATGAATCAGATACCAGCATCATCTTACTTTTATATAAATTCTGAGAATGGCACTATTTACAGTATGAGCTCTTTTGATTATGAGAAGTTAAAGATTTTGGACGTTATTGTCCAAGCGAGAGACCACGGCTCTCCGTCTCTGAGCAGCAACGCCACAGTTCATGTGTTTATTCTGGACCAGAACGACAATGCCCCTGCGGTCATTTACCCCTCTGCAGTCATGGGCTCCGTCTCTCACCAGAGGATGCCCCGCTCCGCTAAAGCAGGGCACCTCGTTACTAAGGTCACAGCAGTGGACGCTGACTCGGGCCATAACGCCTGGATCTCCTATCGGCTCGCGGAGGCCACGGACGCGTCTCTGTTCAGCGTCAATCTGCACACAGGAGAGGTGAGGACTAAGCGCTCCGTCTCCGAGCAGGATGACTCCTCTCAGAGGCTGCTGATAGAGATAAAGGACAACGGAGAGCCAGTGCAGTCCACCACGGTCACCGTGGATGTGCTGATAGAGGACGGCTTTCATGAGCCCATCTCAGACTATCGGAAGAAAAGCACAGAGATCAGTAAGAAAAGTGGGAAAATCACTCTGTATCTGATCATCTCTCTCGCTTCGGTTTCGTTGCTGTGTTTGATGACGTTCTTCATCTTACTGGTGAAATGTGCGCGAGGCAGTAGAGGCAGCTCGAGCTGCTGTATCAGAAGGAGCGAGTCTGGATATAAAAACCCCAACAGAAACCTGCAGATCCAGCTCAACACTGACGGACCCATTAAGTATGTGGAGGTGCTGGGAGGAGACATGATGTCTCAGAGTCAGTCGTTCGGCTCCTATCTCTCTCCAATGTCCGAGTTCAGTGATTTCACCCTCGTTAAGCCCAGCAGCACCACAGACTTCACAGACACGCTCAACGTGCTCGATGCGTCACTTCCTGACAGCACGTGGAAGTTCGAGAGTCAGCAGGTGAGGATGTCACGGAATATAATTTAGCATCGAACTTAAACCAGTTAGCCCTCACTGTTACTCTAATTATGTTATCTTTGATTATTTCGCCTGTTTTGAGCCAAAAGGTGAGAGAATGAAATGCGTGAAAGTAGCGTTATACTTTAGATTTCGGGTCTTGTTATTTTCAGTATTGTGTTGTGAATAATGGTGTGGTGTGTGTGTGTGTGTGTGTGTGTGTGTGTGTGTGTGTGTGAGAGAGAGAGAGAGAGAGAGAGGGTGGGGGGGGGGAGAGAAAGAGAGAGAGAAAGAGAGAGAAATATACCTGTTTGCTCAAGTACCACACTTTGCTTGTTGCTGTCCACTTCGGTGGTTCTGAAAATGTTTACATCAGCACCTGTACAATGGCCAGCGACTTGCCGTTGAGTTTGGGCAGTAAGAGCCATTTTCTGCTGATATGTCCTTCCTATTTTCCGTGTAAACTTTTATTTGTCTTTACTATTTTTGTTATTATTATTTTGCAATTTGCACATACCTTCAGCTTCTATAATTTTGGCGTTGATAATTGAACTTCTATCTATTCTAAGCAAAATCTACTACTTTGTTGTCCTTTCAAAAGACCTTTTTAACAGCATCTTGCATAGTTTCCATCTTGGCATAGCATTTTAATTTTGGTCTTTTTCTCCAATTTCTTAATAATAATAATAATAATAATAATAATAATAATAACAGTAATAAGACGAAGAAGAATTATTATTATTATTATTATTATTATTATTATTAATATTATTATTATTATCGTTCATGTTAAAACTGTTTGTAAGCAAGTAAACACTGAATAATCTTCCTGCTGCATTCAGTAGCAATAATGACAGACCAAGACTAGAGTGCAAAACGCCTTTAAGAGACACCGCGTTCCCCATTGGAGGAGAACTGGCTGAGCTCCCCTCCAATGGCGTGCAAGACCGCACAAAGGGATCTACTCCCTCCCCCTTTCACAGCAGCAGTACAATGATGAGGGGTGTAGAGAAAGAGGATGCTCCCTTTGTACCGGTTATAATGCCGTTTCCAGCACCGGACGCGTCGAAATTCGTGGATTTACGGTCTTAAAATGAGGAATACAACCAGCTCAGCGTGTGGATGCAGGAGAAATACTTACTAATGGAAAGAGCGAGAATATCAGGGAGATGAAACACACAACAAACGAAGGGTGGAAACGGGCAGCGCTGTGGCTGCTTGGGTTCTGTCTTTTGTGGAATATAACCGGAGCTCAGATTCGCTACACCATTCCAGAGGAGCTAAAGGAAGGCTTTGTGGTTGGAAATCTCGCTAAGGACCTCGGTTTAGACGTCTCTGATATCGCCTCCCGTAAGTTACGATTAGCATCTGAGTCGAGTAGAGAGTATTTCCGTGTGGATTCAGAAAAGGGAGAACTGGTGGTGAATGATAGAATTGATAGGGAAAGCATTTGCGCTCAAAGCGTCGCGTGTGTTTTACCACTGCAGGTAGTCATTGAGAATCCTTTACAGCTGCACCGTGTTGAGATAGAGATACAAGATATAAACGACAACTCGCCGAATTTTCAGACAAAAGACGGTGTGTTGAAAATACCAGAGTCGATTGCTCCCGGAGCTCGATTTCCTCTCGAAAGTGCTGAAGATCTAGATGTTGGAAGTAATAGCCTGAGCTCGTATTCACTAAGCAGAAATGAAATCTTCCGTCTAAATGTGAAAACCCTAAAGGATGGAAGGAAAGTGCCAGAGCTGATTGTTGAGAAACCACTAGATAGAGAAAAACAATCCGTTCACAAGCTGATATTAACAGCTTTGGATGGTGGAAATCCGGTGAGATCTGGCACAGCTTTATTACAGATAATTGTACAAGATATTAACGATAATGAACCAAAATTTGAACTTGCTGCATACAAAGCACAGGTGCCTGAAAGTGCTGGCGTTGGTTCGAGCGTTATGACTATAAAAGCCACCGATTTAGACGAAGGCTTAAATGGCGAAATACAGTATCTTTTTGGTGCACATACCACCGATCTCGTCAAACGAGCTTTCAAAGTGAACCCTGACACAGGAGACATTACAGTGATTGGAAATTTAGATTATGAGATCACCAAATCATATACATTTGACGTTTGCGCAAAAGATAAAGGGAACCCAGAGCTAGAGGGTCATTCATCAGTTCAAATTGACATTGTGGATGAGAATGATAACCCTCCTGAGATTATTCTCACGTCGTTGCCCAGCCCCGTACCAGAAAACGCCACAGTGGGAACTGTTGTAGCCCTAATTAATGTCAGAGATTTGGACTCTGCTGAAAATGGTAAGGTCCAGCTAAATATTCCTCCTGATTTTCCTTTTAAACTCAAGCCATCCTTTGATAACCATTACTCACTGGTAACTAACTCAGCCTTAGACCGTGAAGATACAACAGAATATAATGTAGAAATAGTTGCGCATGACTCTGGCGCGCCATCTTTGAAAACGACAAAATTCGTTAATGTTAAAGTTCTCGATGTTAATGATAACCCACCAGTTTTCTCCCAGCCCTCCTACAGCGTTTATGTAAAAGAGAATAATCCAGCAGGAGGTTCGCTTTTTTCAGTAAAAGCGTTTGATGCTGACAAAGACAAGAACGCGATGCTCACGTATTCAATTGTGGATTTGCATTTGAATCAAGTTCCAACATCGTCTTACTTTTACATCAACTCTGAGAACGGCACTATTTACAGTATGAGCTCTTTTGATTATGAAAAATTTAAAATGTTGAACGTCGTTGTCCAAGCGAAAGATCACGGCTCTCCGTCTCTGAGCAGCAACGCCACGGTCCATGTGTTTATTCTGGACCAGAACGACAATGCCCCCGCGGTCATTTACCCCTCTGCAGTCATGGGCTCCGTCTCACATCAGAGGATGCCCCGCTCCGCTAAAGCAGGACACCTCGTTACTAAGGTCACAGCAGTGGACGCTGACTCGGGCCATAACGCCTGGATCTCCTATCGGCTCGCGGAGGCCACGGACGCGTCTCTGTTCAGCGTCAATCTGCACACAGGAGAGGTGAGGACTAAGCGCTCCGTCTCCGAGCAGGATGACTCCTCTCAGAGGCTGCTGATAGAGATAAAGGACAACGGAGAGCCAGTGCAGTCCACCACGGTCACCGTGGATGTGCTGATAGAGGACGGCTTTCATGAGCCCATCTCAGACTATCGGAAGAAAAGCACAGAGATCAGTAAGAAAAGTGGGAAAATCACTCTGTATCTGATCATCTCTCTCGCTTCGGTTTCGTTGCTGTGTTTGATGACGTTCTTCATCTTACTGGTGAAATGTGCGCGAAGCAGTAGAGGCAGCTCGAGCTGCTGTATCAGGCGGAGCGAGTCTGGATATAAAAACCCCAACAGAAACCTGCAGATCCAGCTCAACACTGACGGACCCATTAAGTATGTGGAGGTGCTGGGAGGAGACATGATGTCTCAGAGTCAGTCGTTCGGCTCCTATCTCTCTCCAATGTCCGAGTTCAGTGATTTCACCCTCGTTAAGCCCAGCAGCACCACAGACTTCACAGACACGCTGAACGTGCTCGATGCGTCACTTCCTGACAGCACGTGGAAGTTCGAGAGTCAGCAGGTGAGAGGAACAATGTTCTGAGACAAACATGCACTATGTAAAATAATAATAGAGCATTATTATTGCTACAATGGGCCTTTTAGTTTCGGTGGTGTTCTGCGTGATACTTTAGCACCATTGCTTAGTGTGAAGATCTACCACAGAGGTTCACTTGTTGCTGTCCATTGTGTTGGTGCTGAAAATAGGTGTTTTCAGCACTAGAGTGTTGGACAGCGACCTGCCTCTGTGAACAAGCACAATGAAGCAATCTGCTACTTCAAGTCTTTTGCTATTTTGTTCGTCGCTTTCTTGCGCAATATGTACATAACTCGTGCTTATTGTAAACCGCGAGCGTCTATGAAGTTCTGAGAGATAAG